AAAAAAAAAAAAAAAAAAAAAAAAAAAAAAAAAACTTCTAAAAAGATAAGGCAAACAACAATAAACACAAACTATCACAAAACACAATACTACAATAAGTTTCAAAGACGACCCCTAGAGACCAGCCACAGACCAGGCTCGAGTCTTCGGCCTTCCCCACCACATTTGTCGGCTTCCGTAGCCTCTGCGGCCAACGTCGCCAAAAAGAACAACACTGGGGAGCCCGAGACACCGACTTCACGCCAACGGCCGCAAGCAACCGCCAACCAAGACCCCGAGCACCACCAACGAGCCGACAACCACTCACCTACCACCACCATAGCATCCAGATGTCGGAAGAAAACTAGGCGGCATGGGCAATTATTGCTCGCCAAGAGTACGACCTAACCGTAGCTGACCATATGTCGACCATCGCAGAGGGACCGGCGCGCCTTCCCTGCGGGGAGGTCCATTAGAGTATGCGATTAGTGCACCACATAATTGGAGATTTCCGCTTTATTCGATGAGAGATAATTTTTTGTTGGTTACCCATAAATCACCTTATGTTGATTTTGTAAAAAAAGTGTCATTAGCAAGTTCTTTTGTTTTTTGCAAAACGTTTAATTGTCTATTATTCCTGTAGAAAAATTACCTAAATGTTTTGAATTTCCAAGGTTAAGAACAAAGCTGGTAATGAAGGGGGAGACAACAATTAGTGTTTAAAACATGGAACATGAGAAAAAACACAAATTCTTGTGTGAAACAGCCTAACTGTTAGGTGAGTCGACCTGACATCTAATTTTAATACACAAGTTATATTATTGTATTAAATGTCATAATTCAATTTATATATATTTTTTTTAAATATGACTGTTTTCTAATGAAAATAATTACATTTTGTAAAAAGAGTACGTTGGTCTAATGATTAGACCGACGACCAACCATGAATAAAGACTTCTATTGCACTCTTGTTCTGGTAACTCTTCTAATATATAGTTTTTCCATCAATATATATACTTGTACAGGATGGTATATGTTTAACAAATTATAAAATAGCCAAGTAATTATAAAATAACTATTTACATAATAATTATGTAATTTTGTAGTATAAGAGATCATCTATACTTATATAGAAAGTCATTTTATTTACTAGAATTAGTAGTAAGAAAAGTCAAAGGTAATTAATACATTCTATTTCTGTAAGTATTTTATTTAATTATTTTAGTTAATTGTTTTATCTCATAACACATTTTCAATACAACTTACCATGATTTTTCTATTATGATTAAAAACCAAATTTTACGTTTAAAATGTTGTGAATTATTATTATTATTTTATAAAGAACATATTATTTGTTAAAAAATTGTATATATATAATACACATCACAGTACCATGGTAGATTATTTAAATTTCAACCGATCAAAATGTCAATGATTTAAATTTGAACATACCTATGCGTTTGACCAAATGTCTGGATGATTTAAAATTGAGCCCATAAAAAATTATTTAAATTTGAACACACCAGAAATTTATGTACTTTTTATTTATAAATGTATTGAAAGTGGTATTTAATGGTTGTTATATAAACTAATTTAATATATTTGAAATAAATAAAAGTTTGAATGAATAATTTATAATGTTATTCATAATGTTTGTGACTTATGAGACCCGAATACATAATTCCATACATATTTGTCAGAGGGCGGCTTAATAATTTTTTAGACTTAACGTTGATTAAAAGAGGTAAAAAATAAATAATAACATTATTACTTTTTAGACTTAAACGGACAAAGCTGTGAAAATAACTCATTTAATATCTTTGTCTCGTGCATCGCACGGAATACGTACTAGTTCTATTTAATTAGTAACATGTGATTC